ACAAATTAGAATTAATTAGAATGTTAATTTGATTAACTATTACTCAATACTAATTTGTTCAATTTAATAAATAATATTGCTTGTAATCTGTTGCCACAATTTTATCGATTTGATAAATTCATTTTTACAGTGTGTGATAAAACGGACCCTCATCATCGGTTCATGTCATCAATCAATCAAAATTCACAACCAATCAGAAGAAAGTGTGGGCGGAGTCTTTCTGCAAACACAATAATAAATAATCCTGTAAAAAAACGGTAAACTACTGGTTGCCAGCATCATACTGTAAAAAACACGGTGTGTTACTGTTTTTGAACTTTACAGCTACCGTATTGTCAGCTAGAGTATAAAACTTTAATTTAACAGCTCTAACACAAAAACAGTAACACACCGTATTTTTACGGTAACCACAGCTGCTAGTAGTTTACCGGTTTTTTTTTGTTGTTTTTTTTAACAGGATTATAAATTAAAAAAAATAAACATAAAGACACTATTTTAACAGTATTACAAATGCATACACACTGACAGAAACAATCTTTGTCATGGTATAGTTTGAACGTTTTTGTGTCCTGAGGTGAATTATCCATTGCCGTTTTCAGCTATTAATGATATTCAAACTCAATTTGAATTATGTGAACATTAAATAAAGCACATAATCAGTAGCTGATATTATCATGTTCATACTTAGCCTATTCACCTTTTTCACGGGACGCGAAACTACCCGTCCTGCTTTGCGCGTGCGCGTTGGCAGGATGCTCGAAACTTCCGGTTCGCATGTTGACGCGTTTAGTTTAGGCGTTATTGGACAGCTCTGAAACGAAGGTTGTAATCTGTTTTATATATATGCAATATCCATAATGGCAACAAGCAATGGTAACATTAGTTCGCGGTGGCAGCACGGGCAAGACTATTTAACGAAGACCGTAAACAACATAACTTTGTCTGTCCCTCATCCTACGAAGCTAACAAGCGCCACCTCCTGGATTGATGATATGAGTCAATGGCCAGCAGTCACATATGTTGACATAATTAATTATCTTGTTTTGTCTGAGGGTGTCGACGGCGAGGAGCTTAGAAATTATAAAAGCACGAAGGCATACAATTACTTACACAGTAATAAAATTGGTCGAATTCTGTCCCATAATCATCAGCAGTTCACTTTCTTAAAAGCGGAGGTAGAGCCCAGTCAGACAATAAATAAACCCAATCACATCGCGTGGGTTATGGTACAAACAGCTGGATGCTCCTGTGTAGCTGGCCCTGGTGGGTCTTGTAGCCATGCTGCTGCTGTGTTGTGGAAGGTGGGTATTTATAAATACCGTACACTGCTAGCCTGGCTTAACAAACAGCAACTAAGTTACATTTAAATAGTCTGTGCAGCATGGTTCAACATGAGTACATTTTTACAAAGCAATATTTAAACTATAATAAATGTAAATTATAAAAAATAATACATGTAAAAATAAATATATTATTTATATTATATTCTGATTTTTGAAAGGTGCAGAATGCAGTGGTGTGACAGGGATATCTTGCACTGATGAACAGCGTAGATGTAATGCAGGGACCAAAAGAAATCATGAACAGAAAAGTTTTTTTTAGTTTTCTGTAGCTGTTGTGACAGCCTTTAACGGCACAAATTCTACCAGAGCCGCCACTATTTGCCATCACTCGTAACTGCGTTTAGCTGACGACAATTACTTAACGGAAGTTGAGAGCATCTTACCGGAAGTCACTCGCCGCTATGGCGCCCCCCACGAAGAAGTGAGGAAAAAGGTGAATATGTTGAAACACATAAATAGAAACCTTTTCTTCTATATAATCTACTGCCAGTTGTTGTGGATTAACATTGAAAAGATACGCGATGTACGTAAATGGCGTTTTAATGGTCTGCTTTAATGGACCAGACATTTTTAAGGATATTTGAGTACTAAGATTTGTTAATTGCATACATTAAGCATGTTCAACAGATGAGTAAAGTACGTTTCTGTCTTCAAGACGAGGTGTATAAGCATGCAAACTCTATGCGTTCCCCCAGAGATTGTTTACCGAGACGAATCGTTACCCTGCTGCTCAGTTTATTCAAATAGGATGCTAATGTGGTGCGCTGTTATCAGTTAGCTAAACTAGCTGCTCTGGCTTTGAACTATGAATATAGTCTCGCACATAAACAGAAACAGACTCTCTCACTTCCAGGAGAACAACACTCTACTTTGAAGTCCAGTGTTTAACGAATTAGCCCCGGAAATCACAGGGAATTTTGTCTGGCACACTACGCTGAACCGATAACAACTTACCTGGAATTAAAATAGTGAAATTCATTCTGTATCCCTCCCTATCTGTCGTTCTCTCCCTCACACACACATACTCTGTGCTCTTGCCATCAAACGTGCTTGATGTGAGCCCTACAGAGCTCAGACTATGCTCTGCTCGGCTTTGATAACGCTTCGGCACAGACCTTGTCAAAGCCGCCGTTGGAGCGTGGGCGAGCCACTTCCACATTAGTGACAGCTGATGCTCTCGGACTGCTTAACTCTAGAAACATTCATTTTAGAGTTGTGTGTTTTATATGCATTTCCTGAGTGTGCATATATAACAAGTCCAGATGACTTTATTTGTCTGCAGTATTTTTGACACTGCACTCTTTAAAGCTGCAGTTGCTCCTCTTTGTCGCCATCTCTGTTCGAAATCTACAATTGCAGTCATTCTGGAATCATCAGAGACCTTCGTAAGACCTTCGTTCATCTTCGAAACACAAATTAAGATATTTAAGATATTAAGATCGCTCCTGCATACAGTCCATAGTCTTCTTGAGGGAATGATTCTTTCTGGCATCGAAAAGTCATTAAAGACATCGTTAAAATAGTCCAAGTGACTACAGTGGCTCAATTTTAACTTCATCAAACGACGAGAACACTTTTTGTGCGCAAAAACAAACAAAAATAACAACTTTATTTCAATTTCAATTCGCCATGGGCCTGTAGTCAGTTACCATAGTGTGATTGCGTAGAGCTACGTCACACGTAGGCTCACTATTGGCCGACGCTGGTCATGTGTGTGATGCGTGTGACGTACAATAACAGAAGCTTACGCTATTAAACTAGTAACCTGACTCACGCAGAGGGAGAAATAAACGAATAGTTGAAATAAAGTCGTTATTTTTGTTGTTTTTGCGAACAAAAATGTTCTTGTTGTTTGATAAACTTAAGATTGAGCCCCTGTAGTCACTTGGACTATTTTAACGATGCCTTTAATGACTTTTCGAGGACAGCAAGTCATTCCCTCAAGAAGCCTACGGACTGTATGCAGGAGCGATCTTAATATCTTAAATATCTTAATTTGTGTTGCGAAGATGAACGAAGGTCTTACGGGGTTGGAACAACACGAGGGTGAGTAAATACTGACCGAATTTTAATTTTTGGGTGAACTAACCCTTTAAAATGACACTATAATAGTTTGATTAAAGTGTAGGCTATATAAAGTGTATATTTGATGCTATAGACAATAGAACTGACTCTGTAAAACTATAATTTGAATCAATCCCTTTTCTTTGCATAACACATTACAGAATCACTCTTTCTGCATTATCCTGAATATTTTATAAGCATTAATTTCATGTGTCACGTGTCGACTCTCTAACCGTTAGTCCCGGCTGGGATCCTTCACTAGGGGAGCGGAAAGAAAAACTTTAAGTACATGTGTTGTGCCGTTGTTCTTTTTTGTTTTAGCAAATACTTTTTATCTAGGAATAAACTCCTGTAATTTTGTGATTGGGAGCTGGTTGGTTTAGTTCATTAATCTGCTAAAATCCCTGTGGAGAAAGCGACTGAGGAGCTGCTTGCTGACGGCTGCTGTTGAGCACCGATGCTGCTTCATATTACGGCATTGTTTTGTCTGTTATGATAAACACTGTCAGATTCGCCATTTAGACTCATTAAATCTTGTCGTGTCGTGGGCAAGAAACATGTCAGACTACACGTTGCTTCCCGACCAGTCATTGTATGCCTTCTCACACGCACTAACTCACTCACTCACTCACTCACTCATTCACTCACTAACTCACTCACTAACTAACTCATTCACTTACTCAATCAATCAATCACTCACTCACTCACTCACTCACTCAATCACTCACTCACTCACTCACTTACTCACTCAATCACTCAATCACTCACTCACTCAATCAATCAATCACTCATTCACTCACTCACTCACTCAATCAATCACTCACTCACTCAATCACTCACTCACTCACTCACTCACTCACTCACTCACTCAATCACTCACTGACTCAATCACTCACTGACTCAATCACTCACTCACTCAATCAATCACTCACTCACTCACTCAATCACTCACTCACTCATTCACTCACTCAATCACTCACTAACTGATTCATTCACTCACTCATTCACTCTCTCACTCTCTCACTCACTCAATCACTCTCTCATTCACTCACTCACTCACTCAAACACTCACTAACTGATTCAATCACTCACTCATTCACTCACTCACTCAATCACTCACTCACTCATTCACTCACTCACTCAATCACTCACTCACTCACTCACTCAATCACTCTCTCATTCACTCACTCACTCACTCAATCACTCACTAACTGATTCAATCACTCACTCATTCACTCACTCACTCCCTCACTCTCTCACTCACTCACTCACTCACTCAATCACTCACTCGATCACTCACTCACTCACTCACTCACTCACTCACTCACTCATTCACTCACTCAAACACACACACACACACACACACACACACTCACTCTTGACAGAACCCGTCGTGGAGGACAGAAACAGGGTGACGGTCGGTTGTCGTCCACTATGACACACTATACGAGATGAAGCGATCGGATCTTCCGTCCCAACGCCCGTAGTCGTTTCCGAATCTCCACATCACCCTTCGTCAAACGGGTGGTGCCGAAACGGTCTACTATAAACCGATGTGAGCGGTGGCGGGACTGTGATCTCCAGCTCTCTCACCTCTCTCTGGGCATCTGGTGGTTGGGGTTGTGGTGGCAGCGGATGCTCAGACCGAAGAGTTTACGGGCCGTGCGCTGGATCTTCACTCTCTGGGCCTCGAGAGAGCTCTGCAGGAGCCGGTAGCGGTTCTGGAGGTCCCAGTCGCTGCCCCACAGCAGGTGCACACTGCTCACCGGCAGGAAATGGGTCGCCGGCAACCGCTTCAGAAAAGACTTGAACTCATCTAGGAGAGAAGGACAGAGAGAGAGGTGCTCATATAATGGAGGGCAAAAGCATATCCACATAAACCACATATTGATACTCTGTGGGTGGAACCTGTCCAGAGTGATGGAGACAAATATTGACTTTTACAGACAACGATTGATTTTAACCACAAACACTGTCGATGCTATTACGTGAGAGAGCCTTCAGAATTCCCCAATGATTTCCATGTGCTGTTTTCCAAATCTTTCAGTTTCTTTTAAAGTCACCACGCAAAGCCATTCGGCATGCACTTTACTTGCAAAATAAGTGAAATAGGATATTCAATGAGGCTGCCTTACCTACAGGTGAAACTCCACAAATTAGAATATCGTGCAAAAGTTCATTTCAGTAATTCAACTCAAAAGGTGAAACTGATGTATTATGTAGAATCATTACATGCAAAGTGAGATATGTCAAGCCTTTATTTTTTTATGGCTTACAGCTTATGAAAACCCCAAATTGTGAAAAGGTTTTCATAGTCATAATCATCAAAATAACGATTTTGATCTAGGTTGAAAAATAAACGTGGCTGAGCCTCCTCAGGGGCTGATCGTAATCTCTGGAATAGTTTACCAGTTCATATCCACAAGTTTCCTATGCCCCATGAGGCGTTGCGTCAAAAGTGGGCTCGTCTTCCGGTTCGAAGTAAACAAATCGCGACTTGACATACTTCACACTCATTCATTCAACAGTTGACATTCATTCAAGTTATAGCGATCCAAACTAGCTAACGATGTGGGAACACAACCTCAACGAAATTAAAAAGGGTGAAATAACACTACCTTTACCGTCCGCAGTTACTTGGTTGGGAGTATTATAATAACATTAATAATCAAGACTCATCAAGGCATGGTGACAGACAGTTGTGCGAGCTGACAAACAATTAAAATAAAAAATACACACTTAGCCATTGTGCTTCGGAGTTTATTCAAAATTATAAATGAATGTGCTACTTGAATACATTAACTGGCACATTTGGTATTCTGTCAACTCTGTGAGTTTAGGTAGTTAGCGAACAGCCAATCACATGCTGAGAGAGTTTATAGAATATTAAGAATTTAAACAAATGTACACAGGAAGATTCGTTGTCTTTTGGGAGGTGATGGAAACTAACGTTACAGTCGTTGGCAGGATCACTCTGATTTCGTTTTCGGCTTATGTTCAAAACAATCACGTTTAAGCCACTGAATTAGTTTAGTCCATTTATACGTACAACCGCGAACAGTCCCTGAGCTCCGTGACGACATCTCTCATGAAGATTTGCATCTTTAAATAGTAAAATAATTCTCAGAAAAACAGCTAGCCTCTTCGCTAACTAACACACAAAATACCATTGAAATGCTACTTTCGCCGCCTCACCGGAAGTTTCACCCACTTTATTTTTTACAGGAGCGCCCCTCGGAAACTTGTGGATAAGAACAGCTCAGACTGCTGAAATGTTGAAGTATTCCTTAGCTTTTAGTTTGAGTTGTGTTTTGCGACTGAGACATTCTCTACTGTGTTGTTTTCTATTTATCTGTGTGGATCTGGTCAATGTTTAACACTTTGGTCAACTGGGGATGAGCTATATAAATTAATTTGAATTTGAATGAGGTAACGTTTTATAGGGGCAGTCATGGCCGACTGGTAACCCAAAGGTTGCTGGTTCGATTCCAGTAAACGACTGAGATGCCCTTGGGGAAGACACATGACCCTTCATCACTCCACTTGGCATGGAAAGATTCTCCGATTCGCATCGGTGCATCAATTTAAAAAAGTGTGCATCGGATACAAGTTGGCATTTGTATCAGGATGCATCGTTCGTAATCGGTAATATAAGTATTAGTAGATGCGCCATACTTGTATTATTTAGAAAGTGACCAATATTTTATACAGTATGTAAATTAGGTTGGCTTTAATTAATTTTATTTCGTCAACAGGTTCCACATAACTGGTTTACGTAATATAATTTGTTCATTTAACTTCAACATCATGAAATTAAGTACTATTAACCAACCCATTTCAAGTAGTCTCAACGTGAACTTTTAGAAGCTTCCTGACATGATTCAGGTATTTTTTATATTCATTAATATTCATTATATTTCATTTACTTTAGTGACACATATTTAAATTGATAGACTATAGCTAGCTATTTGCTAGAAGTAGCACATATTAGGATCTTAAACGGTGCTCCTTCAACCAAAGGAATAGAAAATAATTGAATCAGTCGAAAACCAAACAAAATGCTCCACTCTTCTCCACAATGGTAACCCAATGTAATTTAAATGGTACTAATAATTCCAATGCAATTTAACCTTAAACACAATTACACATTATCAAGTCTTCACCTTTTCTAAATTTCTCAAAAAAAGTTAGTTAGTATACAAAATGTTACCACATTTTATTTCACTTTCATAAGCTAAAATAGCCTCAATACAGGCCTAGACCCTGATTTAAACAAAAGATGTGTGCGCTGGTTCAGGAATCATATGACAGACGTAATGCCGTCAGACATGCAGTAAGTGAAAAATGTCTGTAGCCCGCGGCACATACAGGGGAAAGTGTGTGTTCGACTGCAGTCAAGGATGGGTGATGTCCATTAAAATTCAGTATATGCAGCATGGTCATATTGGGGATGTGAATATCATGGTCTAAACATGCAATCGTGATGTTTAACAACTCCACCTGCTTGTTTCCTTTCGTGTGTTTGATATGCTATTAAAATGACAGTGTGAAATATATATATATATATACAATCTTAGAAAAAAAGGCTCTATATAGAACCTTAAAAGGTTCTGTGAGCCCTACATATTTGGAACCCCTAAAAGGTTCTATTCACTCTTAAAAAAAGGGTTCATCTGGGTTCTATATAGAACCCTGGGGTTCCATACTTGGCCAATAGAACCTTTTACCAAAAAAAAAAAAAAAAAAATTTTTCCCTATATGTTCCATATATGAAGCGGGGGATGGAACCATTTCTGGTTCTAAATAGAACTATTTCTGGTTCTAAATAGAACTATTTCTTCTAAGAGTATATATATATATATATATATATATATATATACAAATACATTTAAAAAAAAAAAAAAAAAAAAACGCCTCAGTCTATAGAGTGCTGTGTTTATCGGTGTGTTACGTGATGAAAACTATTTGTTCAGAGTAAGAGGGAACAGAAATTAAAAGAATATACTTTTTAAATAGATATGAAATATATATTTGCAGCGCTAGTGTTGGGCTCAAACCCTGAATCACTTTAGTAAACCCCTTAAACTGAAGTTTTAATTACATTTTATCCACTAATAAAATCACGCAGTTATGCTCTATACTCAGACTTTAACCTCTTGACTATTTAAGCCTGGTACAAATTTGAGCTTATCCAGCAACAAAGAAGTTCATGAGTTTATATATAGAGTTCATATTTATATATTAGCAGAATTCTGACTGTTCCAGGGAAAGTTGTTGGTTGATTTTGACCCATTTCCCTCCATTCAGAAGTAATAAGCACACCATATTCAGAAAAACAACTCAGAATAATACAGTTCTCCAGGGATTTGTTGGCAAACTTTATAAATTAATGTTTTTGTTTTTTTTTTCCCAAAAACCTCAGAGCTTTCAAACTTCAGTAAATCAATGCAATTAGTATTTATTTGTATTTATGCTTATTGTAAGAGTCTGTTATCTTCTAAAACTGTGTACAATGTGCACATTTTGCAATGTTAATGTGTGTTTCTGTGCAGTTTTTGTCAGATCTCTCGTTTTTAGTTTTTAGTCTTGTTAGTTACAGTATCAATCATTTTGAAATATTGAATGCATAACACTATCAACGTTTCCATGTGTATTTAAATTGCCTTAAAGTCATATTGTTCTCGTTCTCCTTGAGCGTGTGGATTCGAGTTCGATCTTCTGTCCACGTGTGTTGTATTTTATGTAGCATGTTTCCATGTTATGTCTTGTGTGAACATGTGTTCGCATTAGCTGCGTGCTAATTCGCCGGCCATGTGCTCTTGTTTTTGTTTTAAGTGTGAGCACATGGCTTGTCATGTTTATGCCATGTGCTCTCCTGTCTATTGTCTTAAAGGGATAGTTCGCTTAAAAATTATATTTCTGTCATCATTTTCTGATATTCTTCACAATATCTACTTTTGTGTTCAGCTAAAGAAAGATATTCAAACAGGTTTGAAACAACTTTAGGACAGAATTGTAATTCGTGGGAGAATTAAACCCTTCTGGTGTCTAATTATTGGTTGATTGGTCCCACCTGTCCTCCATCTTTACCTGCCTTGTTTGCTCCCTTTTGTTTTCAGACCTTGTGCTATTCTCCTTGTGTTTTCAGACCTGTGCCAGCTTGTGTAATGTACTTTGTGTTAACCTGCTCCCTGTTTAGTCCTGTCGAGTCCAGCTGGCGGCCTGTTTTTCCCCACAGGGTAGTTTTTGTTTATTTCGGGCATTTAATAAAGCCCATTTTCACTCCTCGCCTCAACCCTCAAAGCCAACCCTGACACATATTCTATTATATCATCAAAGGAGGGTCCCACATCCACACATGTCTGTGCTAAGCCCTAAATATCCACATTATTCCCAGGCAGTTATTTCTAGTGATGCAATTACAGCTCCGTCTACTTGAATAGGGGAGATATTGTTTGTGCATCTGTATAGACAGATATCCATACATCCATCCCTCATCCAATCATCCTTCTATTGTGGATCTATATCTTGGATAGAGATGTAGAAAAAGGGCTGCACAGTTTTGCAATAAATAATAATAAATAAAATTATAAAATATTGTAATTGCAATTAAATTAGATGTGTGTGGCAGCCACATGTACAATTATTATAATAATAATAATAACAGTGATAATCATACAAATGAGCTTAAAATAATAATTTTAAGGGTTTATTGCATTAAAAACAGGCCATATTTTTAATGAATAAACAATTTATCATTCGTTTCATTCATTTTTTCATAAATTTTAAACATTTTAAATATTAACATTGTTTGTG